TATTTAGTGGACTTATTGCAGCCGGTACAATAGCTGGTGCTACAGCTGNTGGAGTAAGCGTTGCCAACGAAAAAATGAAATGAAATGAATGGAGTTTTACGTCCTACTCTTCTGCACCTTGTGGGCTAATGAAGACGGGCAACGCCATGCAGGGTGCCATGAGGGAAATTTTGCCAGGACAGCATTAGCCTGCTCTTTTTCGATTTCCAACTGTCGAGGGATCTTTAACGTGCACAGCCTGTAGCACACGGGGCCTCGGTTTATTGTCCCATCCGAACAACTAGACGCTTTTTCCATGTCAGCCCCTCTTTGCCAACGAAAAGAAAGCAGCTGCAGTTAAAGCAGCCGAAGAACATAGACATAATTTAAAAATGGAAAAGCTGGCCAAAGGTTCAGGAGTGGGAGAAATGATAGGCACAATGAAAGAATTTGGAAAAAGATTTAGTGAGGAACCAAGAAAACTGTTAAACAAGGATTAAATAAATTAGTACATAGTATTGACACAGGAGAAATCAAAGTCAAACATAAGGGTAATGGAATATTTTTAAAAAATATACGCACCGGAGAAGGAATATATCTTTCGAAGTATAAAGGAGAAGGAGTTATTTTTGGAACAAATTAAAATAATAAAAAATGGATGAAAAATTTAATCATTCACAAATATTTCCTAATAACCCAATGCTCATGTGTATATGCGGTAGTTCCGGTTCTGGGAAAACTCACTTTTAACATGTTGACAACACCAAACCTTTTAGATTTCGATTCTTTGCATATCTACACAACAACACCAGAGCAATCGTATTATCAATTTCTCAAAGCTTTAGAATATCTACCAAAGAGAGATGTTCAAGACCTATTTCTATATTACAAAGAAAACGAAGAAAAACTGGAATTGAAAGATTTCATAGATAACTACATCGAAGGAAAGAAACCAACGGATATAAAAGTTTTTCTTACGAAAAATGTTAATGATCTAGATTTGTCTCAAATTGATAGCGAGCGAAAGAACTTAATATTGTTTGACGACTGCGTGGCGCAAAGAAATCAAGCCGTTCAACAAGAATTCTTCACGAAAGGAAGACATCACAACTGTCACTGCATATACCAATCCCAATCTTTTTACGGGATGGACTCTATGTTCATTAGAAAAAATGCAAATTGTTTTTTATTATTTGAATTAAACGACAAAGATTTATCTCAAATCGTTCAATCGATAAATCACAGAATGGATAGAGATACATTTAAAAAGGTTTGTAAAGCTCAATGGAGAAACCCAGATGATCATGGATATGTATTTGTAAATACTAGAAAACCTGCGGGTGAAAGAGTTATAATCGACATTTCATTTCTTTAAAAATGAGTAGCGATTGGAATAATATTTTAAAAAGAAATAAAGAATATATCAAAGCTAAGAATAAAATAAAAACCCAAGTTGAAAATAACAGATTACAACAACTCAGATTAACGGAAAATCTACAAACTCTATTTCAACCCATATTAAAATCTCAAGAGGATATTAAAAGGAAATTAGAATATAAACCTTCTATAGAACCCTTA